TATCTGGAGACTTGAACTTCAGTTACTGAAGCATAAGTTTGAAAATCTGCCTCACTTAAAGGGAGAAAGTCATGGTCGGTTGACAGTTAGTATGATTGACTAATTGTCAAAAAGTGTAGGCTAATGGCAAGTGTTCAGCAATATACAGAGAAAGAGAAGGGGAGGGTTATTATGTAATTCACATACTCTGATGCACTTTATATTCAAAAGTAAGTTTGTAAGAATTTGATTTGTTGCAAGTTTGATCACGAATCGATGTCAGTTAGAGAACCGCTAAAAGTCACCAGGGAGGACTGCACAGCCGTTTCGTCCTAGCTTGGGACGCAGACAGCACACACTCACCGGGATTCGAACCCCAGGACCTGTCGGTTACAAGCCACTGAAGCTCATTCTAATAGCACATGATTTCCAACTTCAACCAGTTCTTGATTTTGTCATGACTACTAGCCAATGTTATCAGTTAGTTTTTTTCTCATGCCCGAGCTGGTGGACCCCACTGGTCACGACTTCTCACTGGAACTTCAGGAAACTCCGTCCTGTAGCATGTCACAAGATTAATTTTCAAGAGTTGGTGTGTAAGGATTAGATTTATTTTTACGAGTTTGACCACAGATTGATATCAGTGAAGTGTGAGTTTGTAATCGGAAATTCCTGGGTCAGAACCCTGGTTCTGGGTGCGTACTGCTGATGAATCCCAAACTAGGCTGGCGGAACAGTTGTCCAGTATCCTCTGGTTTTCAATGGTTCTCTAAATAATATGATTTATCAAATACTATGTCTAATGATTGTGAGGTCAAATTAAACAAGTCAAACTAGTAGACTACGGTCAGTTAGATTATAGAACACAAGAAATTTAGCTAGATCTACAATGACTGATCCCACAAAGTTAAGTGATCTCGAAAAAAGATAAATCATTAGAATACAATAACACAATAAGGGTGCGGGTAGCGTAAAATCATTTTAAGGCAGTACAGTTCGATGGAGAAAGAGAGAGAGAGTAATCACTCATTACATACAATAGAAGCCACTCAACATCAATCCCTGATGTATGTGGAAAACTGGCATAAAACACAGGAGTTCGTCCCGAAAGATCTTACCAGCCAGTATCATTTCGTCTCTCCTATTCCAGTAACGGGATTGTTCTTTATATTTTTCTTATGCTTCGAAGTTTCTCTAGTGATTGAATTGATATTCTGGGGTAGGGTGTCCAGCCCCACGCCCAACCCCCCCACACACACTTTTCCTGGGCTTATGACCGGCTATAAAACTAGCGAACTAGTAAACCAAACGAGGACCTAATGACCTGAAAGAATTAGCAACAAGAAATCTGGGAACAAACCAACCAGGGATCTATTGCTCAATCTATATGTGGAAGAAAATGGTGAAAGACCAGGCACACACTGAGGAGACATTTGAGTGACATCGCGAGCCAGGCAAGACCTCGGGTGGGCCCCGAATAGGAAACAACGTGTTGGGCATGGATCTGAGGTTCACATGGAGGTGACCACGTGAGAAGGAGGTGAGAGACTATAGGTAATCATGGGGCCAGCTATAAAGGACCGCAGAGGATAGGAACAAAGTGGAGATGTCATTTTGAAGCCCTATGTTTCATGCGGAACCCAAAGGAACCATGATACAATAATAATAATAGTAATGACAGAAGTTAGTAGAAAGCAGTACATAAAGCAAGTTAACAAGTCGTTTGTAAACATAGAGACAATTATGAGCAATGAACTGAGATTGAAACCTGATCCTGGTTATACACACTGTATCACTATGTGTATGTGTGTGTGCGTGCGTGCGCGCATGTGTTATTATCAAACAAACTTAGTGAAAACAATTTGACAAACTCTAATAGAGTACAGAAGATTTCAACAAAAGATCTATTAATCGTTATTAGATTCAAATCTGATCAGCATTATTCCATATAAATTTGTTTATTAGATATAAATACCACACACACACACACACAGAGTGAAACAGTATTAATTACGGAATGGATAATGTTATTATTGCTTCTATGTCATATAATCAGTTGTAACCACAGAACTTAAAAAGTCGATATTTTATAATCCCTATTCTTTTTCCCACTCATAGTAAAGGAGAATACTACTACATGTAATTATATTCAATAGAGTGGGACATTCTAAGCGAATGGAATGAAAGATCAATAACTGACGCTTTATTTATCGAAACAATTGAAAATGCACGCAATAGGCGTGATTCAATATCTGTCCTGGACATCTGGAAATTTCAAATACCCTTAGGATAGATGGGAAGGAAGAAGGAGAGCTATATAAGAACTTGAGTTTTGAAGTTGTGCAGTTACGATTGATGATGATAATAATAAATATTATTATTCCCTAGGGCTCTGAGTGAAACATAAGGATACAACATCGCATCTCTTTCGTTCTCTTTAACTGGCCTCACGATTACCTATAGTCTCTCACCTCCTTCTCACTTGATCACCTCCACGTCGACTTTGAATTCACACCCAACTTGTTGTTTCCCATATGGATCCCACTCGAGGTTTTGCCTGGCTCCCGATGTCACCCAACGGTCTCCTCAGCGTGTGTCTGATTTGTCTCGATTTTCCTCTACATATATGTTGAGCAATACATCCTTGGTTGGTTCGTTCTTTCTGGCTAGCCACTTGATCTTCAATATGCAACAATTGAAGGCAGCTGTTGACAAAACTCTGCAGCTGGCTGTTAGAAATGCTTTTGTGACCCGTTAGCCAAGTTTCTTACCCGTATAGAAGAACTGGCTGACTTAACATGGGTGTTGAAAATATGGACTCTTTTCTCCTCATGCTGAGTACAGCAGACTTCCGAACTGATTGCAGAGTAGTGAAGGTCTGTCTTACCTTTCCAATTGTGAATTCTTTTCGGCCTTCATGGTACTGCTATATTAAGAAGCAACATCTGAAACCTTATGGATTGGACACAATCTTAGGAGACCATCGACTGGAACCCGGATGGAAAATGAAGAGTTTGGATGTCCGATAGTGACATGGAGGAAACTACGTGGGGAGTAAACGAAAGTCAGCAGAAAATCGTAGATCCAAGTAAAAAGGACTGAATAGTTCAGTTCTCATTTATAAATTAAATTATGTCGGTTAACGCATCCTGTGGAACCCATCAAACAAAATCATTTAGTTTATCTAATACCTTGCAATGATTGTGAGTTTACATACATAGGCCAAATTAGTAGGACGAGGTCAATTAGATTAACGGAACTCAAGAAAAAGTGCAGCAAAATCTAGGTTAGTTGACCTTAATAAAACAAAACATTTTTAAAAAATGCTCCGTTATACCACTACATGCATACACACATTACACACAACCATCCAACAGGATGGTACACAATGGTTGTCCTACAATTTAATGTAGCAAAGTAGCAGGAGAAACTCATAACTAAATCTTTATTTATCGAATCAATTGAGAATACGAGTATAAGGAATGATTTTCAACACTCTTCCCAGATATTAGGAAAATTCTACTATCCCTACGACAAATCGCAAGGAAAAAACAGGACTAAATCAGGTTTCGAAGTTGTATAGTTACAATTGACAGTAGAGTTATGAACAATACAACTGTGTTCGAAAGTTTTTGTCATCCAGCAAGTAGTGAATATGGAATAAGGCATATAACTAAATATCCCAGATGTGAAAGAACTTCAGAGAGGGATAATAAAAAACGAAACAAAAAAACAACTGCCTGTTAAACAGCGATTTCAGTGACAGATAGAAAGAGACAACATTTAAAAATCTGATGGTCCCTGGTTTCTGGCTACAAGATGAATTCGCCTGGAGTGAGTCCTAGTGGGAAGTCGCCTACCAGTGGGATCCACCATGTCGAGTGTGAGGAAATAACTAGACGATGACAGTGGGGGCTGGTGATGACGCTATAATCACGAATTAGTCGAAGTTAGAAAACATAAACCATTGGTCGGGGGGTTCCAGTAGGTGAGTAGTAATCTACAAGCTCGCCTTATAACCAGAAGATCCTGAGTTCGAACCCGTGGAATGAGTGAGTCCTACCGATGAGCATCAAACAACTCTAACTAAAATCGATCGTGAAACCCTTTAAAATTATTAATAAACAAAAAAGCTCAATTCTCGTCAAGTTTGACGAATCAATCTCTATCGAACGCCTGAAACCCGATTTATGTGTTCAAACAGAAGCAGTTATCAGGCATTCCTTGCCCTGGTAACTAAATGTCTTTTTTCTCTCTTTCATTTGATTACGTAATATTTCACTTTAACCTCATTCCCTCCCCTTTGATAAAGTGTAACTTTGTCTCTTGTTTCTTGATTTGAGTTGAACTCAGTAGATTGTTACCTAATTCATTAGTCACTCTGCATCTAACGCATATCTCGTCTTTATTACGTAACTCCTTTGCCATTGTATGCATACATTTATTTTGTTTAATTTTGAACTGCCTGTGTAAAAAATAAATATAAGCGCAATTATCTGAGCACTGTTCACCGATTGCGGAACTTCCTGTCAACTGACATTATGTAAAATTTGCAAATATGTTAAAACTTTTCTGTGCATAAACTTAATAATAATTTATTTAGGCTGTAAGCAGCTGCGCTGATGAGAAGCGAACGAAATAAGCACTGATGGTAGCGGTATCACTTTATTCTGCACAAACCACTGTTTGTCTTGCCCCATATTGAAATTGTGCGATTAGGACACTCGCCGACGATGCACATGGTCCAAGGTTCGATCCCCGGCCACCGACGCACTCCTTTACTTCGCTAAGCCAGAAATAATGCTGGTAAAGAGGAAAGGTTTGGCATGAGGCTAGTAACCCCATCCTGTAATGATAAACACCGTTACGAAAAACTTCAAGCCACTAGCTTGAAGCCCTATGTTCCACTGGGGAATGTGAAGGAAAAAAATATTGAAATTAATCCGTCATCGAACTTGCAGCAAAATATACTAGTCAAACCAAACAAACAAACAAATAACAATAATAATAAAGAAACTAACCAGAACTGGTTTCAAACAAGTAAGCAGTTCAGCAAATCTTCGACGTTCTTCAATCACTGCTCTACGTAAACTGACACGTTCCAATTCAGCCAGTGTTCTCTGTTTTAATATTAGATCATGTTGCGCAAAATTCAAGTGCATATTATCACCAGATTGAAGGATTCCATTATTATTATTATTGTTATTTGAATCGTTCGACTGTAGTGTTTTAAATGCATGAATTTCATTGTGTGAATCAAAATCTCCACCGCCATTGGATACTGAACTTCCCTGAATTGTTAAAAAAAATTATTGTGATAAAATTATCTAAAACAATCCTAGAGGGTTTAGAAAATTTAGAAACAAATTTTTTTTCTAAATACTTCGCTATGGAAACATGGCTCACTGACTTAAGCACTGGACTTCCAGCTTGTGAGTCTAGGATTCGAATCCTGCTCCATCTGCTTCAGCCTATTCAACTGACTGATATCATCAGCTCCCAGACAATAATAAATGTGACCCATAGCTCAGTGTTCATGAAAAACGTATTTCAGGAACTGAATTCAAACAAGAGTTCGAGGAGTACACCACAGCTTCTTCAGGAGAATTATTTAAACATTAAAATATATGAAAACCAGGAAGTTTGGGGTTCATCGGCAGTACGCACCCACAGCCAGAGTTCCAACCCAGGACCTCCACAGATTACAAACCAGACTTGTATACCATTTACCCATTGGGACCCGATTCAATGGCCAGTCCATGAATTCTAAATTCTACAGATATCGTGATTTTAGAGCGACACCAATCACCACCAGTTCCATCAGTGGGAAATCCATCCTCATCCCCGACTGCATAGACCCCACTGGTTACAACTTCTCACAAGAACTCACTCCAGGCAACTTAGACCTGTAGCCAGTACCTTCGATGAGTCTCAAACTAAGCCTCCAAAGCCTCAGGATGGTCGGGGGTGGGTACCTTGCGCTGCGGGTTGGCCACCCCTCCGCACACCTCTTGAAATGCCCCCATATGACCGGGCGTCTTACATAGCCTCTCCTGAGGAAGTCCTACTCACTGCCTTCACGTGGCGGAGGTGTTTCTCACCAAAGTGAGAGGGCGAAAGCGGATGCCCGACGCTCTCCACCGGGTTGACTGTCCATTGGATGACAGTCTAGGGGAGATGGCTAAACCCTGATTCCAAACCTCCAACGACTGGCGTATGAAGCTCACTGTAGCTCACCGGCAGACGTATGGACAAAGGGCTTGTTGGATGTCCTGGATGCCTGGCCCCATTCAAAAAGGCGTATGAACCGAACTCCGGTCACCGGCTGCCAATGGATAGTGGACTCCTTACTCCACTCCTACTGCCTTGTAGGTCACACTTGGTTGTGTAAAGGCTAGAGCTGCACTCTCAAACAAAAGGCCGAGCGATGCTGGGGACATCACTCGTACCAAATTCCCATGAAACATCATGAACTCTCTTACAAATTGCCGCGCCTGGGCAGCGATGATTCGAGACGTTCATGAAGCCGGCTCATCCTCCCGTAGGAGATAGCCGAAGTAAAGTAAAGTAAGTAAGTAAACTAAGCTAATGAAACAGCTGTCCACAGTATTCCCTGTTCGATTTCAATAGTTCTCTAACTGATATCAATCCGTGGTCCAACCTTAACCACATACAATCCCTATAAAATAATTCCCGATAGTCAAAATACGTATTTTTTCAATTAGTACATGAATTAAAGTGAACTTGTACAAAGGTCACTTGAGAGTAAACATTGGTATCAACTGAATAAATGTGATTAGTCATCATATTTTAGATTGATATTAGTCGAATGGTTATCGTTAGATCATTACAATATATGCGTATATCTATCTGTATGTTCTTTATTCTATGGAGAACATGCTAATTCATAAGGGATAGCTGCCTTCACTCGAGATGACACTAAAAGATTAAATGTCTGAAACCAGAAAGGATAAGCAACAACTAACTCTGTCAACAAAGTAACCAAGAACTTGTCGTTCAACAGAACATGGATTGGATGTATGCTGAGGTGACTGTTGAATAACATTAGGTGTCAGGCCGTCAAGAGGAACCCGAACGGGAAACGACCAGTTAGGCGCCTACTCGACAGTAGTGTAGATGAGATCGTGTGAGGAAAGAAAGAAGGACTGCAAAGAACTGAGTGAAATGGCGATGTACTGCAGAAGCACTCCATATTTCACTCGGAACCCAAGGAAATAATTATTTAATTCAATTCAGACTTTCCCGTTGATTGATTTGAACCAGGCATTCGGCTTCAGGCTGAGATATCGGCTCCTTATACAGAAGATTTGAAGATGTCTGTCAACCAGAAGGTCCAAATTGAATTAAATAATTGCTGAGACCCAATTGCATAAGAGGTGGATCCCAAGAGGTCTAGTGAATAACGCTTTAGCGTTTGAAACTATGAGTACTGGGTTTGAGCCTCAGTGGGAATACCATCACTCACTGGGGAATGCAGATACATCCAAATGACGATTCCCAAATGGGAAGAAATGCGCATCCTGGATTCCACTGCTAGTCACCATCCTCCAATTTACACAAAGGGAACTATAATAATAATAATAATTGTTTACAAGCTGAGAAATGTAATAACGAATCATTCTTATCTTTTTTCTGTCTACCAACTAGGTGGTAAATCTGTTCCTTCTCTCTGCATTGATTGCGTTCAATATAGTTAAAATATGCGAACCTTTAGAGATCAATCCTCCTTCCTATGAATGAAAATCTCTTCCTATTACTTCGATATCGACAAAATCAATCTTATGTCCGCTTTCTACAACATTCATAGTCTATGTTAAGTCATGGGATGACCACATTCTTCATCCAGCAATAGGGACAACACTTGCACAGCATATGTCCAAACCATCGAAGCCATTGTCCCAAGATGATATCACTTATTCAAAGAGGATCTCCATTACCTTCATAAGCTATAAATCATCTATGCCACTGATGCACTGCTGGTATGGCTAGGCCAAACCAAACAACATTGATTATCGGAGGAAGTGCTGGTTCGACATGAGCAACAACTGACACTGGGAAAACTAGAAACACCTCACTGACTCATATACCTCTCAAACATAACACTCTATGTCTAACCTAGACATTAATCAATATGACGAAGACACCTGTGATTAAGATCCCGTATTTCTCTAAATTTGTGAAGCCATATCTTTCAGTTGTTAAAGTAGAATTAGATGACATACTGCTCACAAAAACACAATCCTTCCTTTCGTTTCTGTAGAACATTTACCAATCATAGTAAGTTTAAGCAGAAAACATCTCGTGTTTATGCATTTTAAAAAAATCACCGTACCACTAACTGACATGAACTGAAGTGACCAGTTAGCACAGGATTTTGCACTACAGTGCACTAGTTGCATTTACTATACTTTATAAAGTACACATAAAGGCAGGATCAAAAAGTAATGCAAGCGAAGGTGGGCAAAAGTCAAGGTCTTTCGACAGTTGACCTTCAAGAACCATTCAGATACAGGGAAAGCTAGAAAAGGTCATTCTTTTTGGACTTGGAGAGGGTAGATATAGTATTCTACTTATTCTTTAGGGGTTATGCCTTTTAAGGCTAAGGTTAGAATTCGAAGTTAGGGGTATAGTTAGAGTTAGGAGTAGGTTAAAGAACAGTATCAGAAATATCAATTGATCTCAAAGTATCATGATTCACAGGCTCATGTTATCATTTCTCTACGGATCATCTATGTAGTAACTTAGACACATTCTTACAAAACATATGCGACACCTATGTGATGTAATATCATGTTTGTAGTGGTTTTAGATGCATTTTTCAACGATTATGCCACTGTTGGGTTTGTGAATTCTGATTGGTTGTTCAAAGTCACTGACGTTTCGGTTACAGCAGTTTAACTTCTCTCCAGAAGTGTACAGAAGAAAGAAAATTTTAACTTCCCTTTGCATTACACGAATGGAATATAGGGACTTAAGCTTTGAAGCATCAGTTGCAGAGGTTGTTTTTTTACAGGGTCGAGTTGCTAGCCTCACCCCTTGTTTAGCGGGATTACAACGGGCTACGCGAGGTTTAGGAGTGCATGCATCGACCTGGAATCAAAGCCGGACCACGTGTGTGGGTGTGTGTGTTTGACAAGCATTGTACCACAATCCAACCAGAAACATGGAAAATAATAATCATTTCAAAAAAGGGATCTAGGAGTTTATCAGCACCATTGAGAATAACTGTAGGTCATGTCCCCAAAAATCGTTAGTTCTTAGTGTTTGAAAAACATCCAGCCATTATACAGTCCACACTTTCCTACTTGGATGATATAATAGTATAAACAACTGCGTGTGATATCACATCAGAATGTTACACCACAGAGATCATTTGACAACCACTTTTTGTTTGTTTGCAAACTCCATGTAAATAAAATAATACAATTTCTTTTAAAGAATATTACACTTAAACACAAACATTGTACGATGTACTCCTACAGAGTTGAACATAATAACAAATCGAAAAATTTCAATGGAGATTTCGTTAGTTAGAGAACATTCTAAAAAACGGGAAGTAAAGAATAGCTGTTTGATCCTAGATTGAAACTGTTTAGCGGTACGCACACCCACGACCCCAACAAGAATCGAAACCTGAGCATTCAGGTTACAAGGTTAAGCTAGTTGACCATTCAACTACTTAAGCAGGAATTTATTGTCAATTTATCACATATCAGTGTCCTTAAATCAAAGCTTTCGATATTTACCGCTGAAGAGTTCCAAACTAGGACGAAACGGTTGTCTAGTGATCTCCAATTGATGTTAGTTCACGAGAAAATTCAAATGCCTAGGAAAAACATAGAATCTGATTTGAGAAATGCTGGAAAGACATACATTTTTCTAGGCAAAAAAGCTAACACAAACATATCTTGTGATTGACAGAGTAGGATAATTTTATTTTAGGCAACAGAAACGATAGATTGAGAGAAGAGTAAACAAAAATAGATGTACAAGAGAGGGAGAAAAAAAGTCTCAATATCGATTAGGATCAACTAATAAAAACTGTGTAAACATATATCAATCATGTTGACAAATCAATAGAAAGAGACTGTGAGTTATTGGAATTCAGTTATCTGGATTACATTTTCTTATATACCAGAGTCTATAGGTCACACTTATTATCATTATTATTATTATTGTGTGACGGATGTTGGCGCTAACCAGTTCCCAAAAGCTGTGATAAGTAGAGACTAGGACTAGGGACCAGGGATCCATCCGTTGATGGAAAGCT